TCCTAATCCCTCAAGCTAAGGTTAGACCAAACACTTACCTCGCTTTGCAACCAATTCAAAATTCCTACAAGTCTTTGCCTCGCGAATTTGTGCCCGAAATTCTCAAATCTAGTCATAAAAAATTCGATTCAGTCAATAAAAATTATAGGAGTTAATTCCATATGAAATTCTACATTTTCATTAAAATCCGAAATTGCACTAAAAATTTGCCCGTGGGGCCCACGTCTCGGAACCCGACAAAAATTACGGAATATGAAACTTCATCCAACCACGAGTCTAACCATACCAAAATTACTAAATTTCGATAACATTTTGACCCTCAAATCCTCAAATCTATCCGAGAGAGTTTTCAAACTCTTCCAACTAAATTCACAAATTTAGTATCAAAACTAGTAATAGATTCGGATAATCTAACCAAAATTAAGTTAAGAACACTTACCACGTTGTTTTCTCTGAAAATCTCCCGAAAATCGCCTCTTCCCGAGCTCCAATTTGACAAAAATGAAAAATGGGACAAAGTCCCATTTTCAGAAATTAAGAATCTGCCTAGAAAATGTCGGGGGCACTGTTCACGCGTTCGGGTACTATTCACGGTACTGTTCACAGGGTACTATATACGGTACTGTTCATGGGGTACTGTTCATGGGGTACTGTTCACGATGCTGTAAAAAAACAACAGCTTCCCAAAGAGAATTTCAGCAGCTTTTTCTACCCGTTGACCTTCCGAAATCCACCCGAGGCCCTCGGGACTTCAACAAAATACACCAATAAGTCCTAGAATATGATGCGGACTTAGTCGAAACCTCAAATCGCATCAAATAATGATAAAACCGTGAATCACATCCCAATTCAAGCCTAATGAAACTAAGAACGTCCAACTTCTATATTCGATGCAAAAACCTATCAAATCAAGTCCGATTGACTTCAAATTTGCACACAGGTCATAAATGAAATAACGAAGCTATAAAATATTTCAAAACTGGATTCCGATCCCGATATCAAAATGTCAACTCTCCGGTCAAACTTAAGAAATCTTTAGCCTTAGATTTCTAGATTCCGTTAAATGGCGATAATTTGATCTAGGGACCTCCAGATTCGCTTTCGGGCATATGACCAAGTCCCAAGTCACGATGCGGAACTACCGGAATGGTCAAAACTTTTATCCGGGTTCGTTTGCTCAAAATGTTGACCGAAGTCAACTCAGTTGAGTTTTAAAGCTCTAGTTCCATATTTAGTCCATTTTTCACATAAAAACCTTCCGGAAAATTATACGGACTGCGCACGCAAGTCGAGGAATTATTGATACCGCTTTTCAAGGTCTTAAAAATACTGAGATGGTTATTTAATTTAAAGATGACATTTTGGGTCATCACAGTTCAGCAGGCCATAGAAAAAGTAAAGCTTATCCGGGATCGACTATTGACAGCTTAGAGTCATTAGAAATCATATTCTGACGTGCGACGACAAGATTTAGAGTTCGGGGTTGATGACTGGGTATTCTTAAAGGTTTCACCTATGAAGGGTGTGATGAGATTTGGCAAGAAAGGCAAACTTAGCCCACGATATATTGGTCCTTATAGGATCATTCGGAGAGTGGGCCAAGTAGCTTATGAGTCAGAATTGCCCTCGAAATTAGAGTCTGTCCATCCAGCTTTTTCACGTATCTATGTTACGGAAGTGCATTGGCGATCCTACCCAAGTGGTTCCCATGGATGATGTACAGATGACTTATCATACGAGGAAATTCCGATTGCCATCCTAGGCCGACAAATCCGCAAGCTACAGAATAAGGAGGTAGCCTCCGTGAAAGTACTTTGGAGAAACAACATGTGGAAGATATGACTTGGGAGGCCAAGGAAAACATGAAGTCTAGATATCCCTACTTATTTTCTTCTCCAAAGAAGGGTCCGACTAAGACGTCATAATCATAAGGTACGTGTATAAATTCTTGTGTTGGTTATTGTCGTTGGTCATGTGAGACCATTGTCGTTATTGATAATTGTGGCCCGATATGGTGTTGGATTATTAAGCTTCTACAGGGAGAGTTGGTAGTAGTGTTGTTACAAAGGCGACCCTGCCAAAGTTATATGGATCACGGAGAGTTGAACATTCAAGGACAAATGTTTCTAAGGGGGGAAGGATGTTACATCTCGCGTTTCCGTACATTAAAATTTCGTTTTCAGTTAACCGATGTAGACTCGGGGATGAGATCATCTTGACGTTAACGTATTTACGCTATTTATAACAAGCGATAAACAAGTGTTATGAAGGATAAAGGGGTACACGGATTAAAGAAAACGAGTTTCGTTGAAAGTGGCCAATTTGGAAAAATGCGGGTCGAGCGATAATACCCGATAATTATGAACTAGTACCATGCAAGGTACCATATGACCATGGTAACATAATATATAAAGTATATATGAAGTATTTTAAAAATAAATAGAATTTTAAGTAATTTGTGATAATTTTTAAATTATGCGGGTAATTGATTAATTACTGGGTAATAGGACATTACCCAGTTAACTAATAAGTGAATAAAAATATAATAAATTAACCACCCTCCCACGTGGCACAAAGCCACCATGACAAGATAATGACTCTTATCTTAGTCATTATGTCATGTGACCACTAAAGTCTTACCTAGTTAAGATAAGAACTTGAAAACCAAGTCTTGAAAACGTTGAAATCAAGAATTTGAAACCAAAATCATTTCATGTCCTTGGCTAGAAACCAAGAACTTTGAAACAGAACTTGAAGCAAAACATTGGGACAAGTTTAGCTTAAATCCATTCTTTGGTTCACAAAGCTTTAGAAGCAGAAGGCAAGTTCGTTTCAATTTCAAGGAAATCCAAGTGTAGTTTCGTTCATATTTCGCAGAAGCAGATTCGTTCAAATAATTCGAGAAACAAGTATGTTAAGGCTCTCCCTTCTTTCTTTTGGCATGGTCCAAATTATACTGAAAAAAACTAGCAAACACACAGTTTCCATAAATTACTCTATTAATAGAAATAGTAGGGGTGTCTATATTCTTGATTTTCCATGAGAATTATTATTATCTTCTATTCATGGGTCTCAAAATAATACGCAGTTGAAAAAGCTTATCCGAAAGAAATATTGAGATCATTATGCATTTTTCATGCATTTCACTCATGTGCATTGACCTATGACCAGATGGAGTTATATACGCGTATATATGTAATTATATGTATATAGAATATAGGAAAAGGTTACGGCGTTATATACGTACCAGCACCTGATCAGCTGGTATATGTTGATGATGTGCCCATAGTGGCCGAGACGATATGATGAGATGCCCTCAGTGGCTTGATGATATTATGTACACCCATACCTATGCATGACACTACATTTATACGCATGTGCATGGCGTTATAAACGTTTTAGAATTTACAAAGTTATACAGATTTAAAGACTAGTTTCTATATTCCATGTTTCATCTATGTCTGTTACGTACTAATTTTCATGCCTTACATACTTAGTACATTTTTCGTACTAACGCCCTATTTCATGGGGCCTGCGTTTCATGCCCGCAGGTGCAGGTAGGCAAGCTGATGATCCCCCTTCTTAGGATCCCTGATCAACGAGAGTTGACATGCTCCACTTGATCCGGAGCTGCTTTGGTTTTGGTACGATACGTTTGTATATATGTATATGTATATGGGTCTCAGTCCCGTCATTGTACAGCTATGTTTCTATTAGAGGTCTGTAGACAGTATGTCTAGTTGGGTTGTATGTGACCTTGACGGCTTTCAGTTTTGGATGTATAGTTGTCGATAGCATCCTTGCCGGCTCGCCCACTGTATTCTGCCTGTATACGTACATATGCCTTGAAGGCAAGTTTCCTTCTTGTACGTTATTTTCGTAATTCAGCAGATGTTATTCAGATTCATATCTTAGACGCATGCTTAGGGGTGTTTGACAGGTAGGACTCCGGCACCCGTCGCGGCCCATCGGTTTGGGTCGTGACATTAGGGACCTTTGAATTCGATTCCGGACATACGCCCAGATCCCAAATTACTATACGGACTCATCGTGACCGTCAAAACACGAATTCGGGTCTGTTTGCTCAAAACGCTGGCCGAAGTCAACTCAAATGAACTTTTAAGACAAAATTCTTATTTTTATCAGTTTTCAACATAAAAGCTCTCCGAAAAAACATCCGGACTGCGCACGTAAATCGAAGAGGACTAAAATGAGGTATTTAAGACTTCAAAGCACAAAATTAGGTTTTAAAACATAAGATGACCTATCGGGTCATCACAAATTTTCCCATAGCTAATTCTTTTTCGTTTTATAGTTAGTTGTCTAGAAAACATAGTACCTAAAAGATCATGTTGATACGAAATTAAAACCAAAAAAAGGTATACATGATAGATCACTAAGCTTTCAAAACTATCTTGGCTATTTTCATGCTTTGCAAGGCCATTCTCTACTTTGTTAATCAAATATGACCAATATTCTTATTTTCAAGAGTTTATAGTTTGTAATTTTATTTTATACGTATCCTAAGTCTAGTAAATTAATAACCATGAAAGCCCACAAGGGACCAATAAATTTAGTTAGAAATGGATAATGTGAAATGTGTGCAGAGTGCAGACAGACAAAATACATGGCTCAAAAAGAACCCCACTCGCCTCTTCCCAAAGCTTCCTACAACCAACCTGTTAACACCGTGGCATTACCAAGCATCATAATATTCCTCTCCTGAACCCCCGAAAATACCCTTAGATCCTTCTATATTTACACCTTTGCCCCTTTCCTTTAACTACCTTTTAAGGTCGTTTTCGACAATAGCCAAAACAAAAGTCACTTTTCATCCAAAGGCGGCTCACGAAATTCCCAAAACACCCTAGCCTAACGGATATAATTATACAAAACAGAAGGTTATAAATGTAACTGCACAGAAAAGAATTGGCTGCTGGACTTCAAACAGTAAATAAATTAAAATTAAAACAAACAAAACTGAGAAGTTGGGTTACGATAAAGATTTCATAAGGGGGTAGGTAGTTCAAGAACTCCGGCGAGGGTTTTCAAAAATTCCCTTATATTTTTCTGCTTTTTTATTTCCTTATCGTGAAACCCACTAATTTTTTCTTCTTCTTTTTCATAAAGTTCAAATCTTTGATCTGTAATTTTGCCAATTTTTGAGAAAACGAAAGAGTCCCTTTTGGGTAATTTTCCAAATGTCTACTCCGCCGAGAAAGATTTTCTCCGGCTGGACTTTGACACCAAGAACCGATCCGGCAAATAGGGCAGTTTCAAAGGGTAAAGATGTTGGCTTTATGGGTTCTGCACAAAAGGGTGTTTTCTTAAGCCAAGATTGTGATGATACTATGGACAAACAACTGATTCTTGAGAAGCTCTCAAATCTTGAAAATGAGGTTAATCTACTAACCCCACTTGTATTTTATAGTTTTTTTAATTATTTATTGAATATGGCTGTTTTGCTCTTTGGTACTTTAGTTTTCTTGGGTTTAGACTATGTAAGAAGAAAGAGGTTTGTTATTTGTTTAGTTCCTCATGAAGGAATAGTTGTATTTTGCTTGGTATTATAAATTATGAAGAATTATATTTTGTGCTTTGTACATGGATCTTGCAAGAATTTGGGTTCTGTTTGTTTATTAAGTATATGCTAGGGTAGAAAGTAGTTTGTGCAATTTTAGGGACAACTGGAGTTGGGTCAGAAGCCCACAGAGGATTTTTTTTTTCAATATTAAACGGATGACAATTTTGAACTCGTTTCTTGCAAGTGGAGCTGATGTTGTGAAATCTAACTTGTGGATACTGTTTTGACATCTCAGTTTAGGTAACAGTAAGACATCTTATGCTGTTTATGAGTTCATCTATCTATTATTAGCTTTTAAACAACACGAAACCCAATGTAAACCTTACCCCTACCCTGTGAAGGTAGAGAGGCTATTTCTGATAGACTCTCGGCTCAAGGAACAGTGAAGGTATCATGCTTTTGCATATAGAAAATTCATGTAAGTTGTATTTGCAATGAATGGTTTAGCCCAACCTAATTTCCCCGCGCATCGATAGAAGGGAGGGGGGGCGGTGTGATCTTGCCAGTGATAAAGGATAAAATGTGCTAGCACTTGCTGCTTCTATGCTTGATGTATATGTTAATGTTTTTCAGTATATATCTGCTGTGCCAGAGGAGTTACTTCTCTTGAGTTTCAAGTGAGTTAACAAGGATTTTGTTGGACTGCTTCATTTTTTCTGTAGCTCTTGGACTATCAATACAATATGGGCCTTCTCTTGATTGAGAAAAAGGAGTGGTCTTCTAAGTATGAAGAAATTAAGCAAGCCTTAGATAAAGCAAAGGAGGATTATAGAAGAGAACAAAACACTTACTCAATTACTCTATCTGAAGTGGAGAAACGGGAGGAGAATTTGAGGAATGCATTGGGTGTTGAGAAGCAATGTGTGCTTGAGGTACACTTCTACTTCTTCATTAGGCTACCATGTTTTTCTGATCCATTTTTCTTTCGCGAAATGTATGATTAGCAAGCTAACATGATTAATTACTATCAGAAAGAACTAATTTAAAAACTGGTGTCTGTTGCTAGGAGACAATAATGTTTGTTAGCTTTGCCTTGAAAGCCTTGGAAGTAATGCCAGCTTAGTTGTAGACTCCTGATTGGTAAAATAATAGTAGAAAAATTATCTCCGTCTCTTTTCCTTTAGGCAGCAGTACATTCCATCTCATGTGCTTTTAGAACATCACCAGTGTTTGTTGTCACGGATTAATATAACGATTTATAGCATATGAACCAGTTATGACCATGCAGTATGTTAACTACCGAGCAGACAAACTCTGCATATGTGCTAGAATACCAGACTTAGCCTTCTGCTCCATATGGGTAAAACATGAGTTAACTTTTTCTTCCATTCACTAATTAAAAAAAATCTGCAAATGTTCGAGGGCTACACATGTTTATCTGGAATACTTCCATGTAGTGCAAATCTGTCATATGAACATTTACCTTGACCTCTGGTATGACGCAATTGATTTTTAGTCATGTAATTATTAAAGAGGATCTAAAACATCTAAAATTCCAAGTTATAGAAGGCACTAGGAGGTAATTTTCTTGATCTCCATGCCTTTTATGTTGTGAACTTGCTCGATTCTCCTGTATGAATATCGATCTGGATCCCCTTTAGGAATGTGTCCTGTAAATTTCAACTTTGTAACAAATTTTCTGGCGAGGTTTTACATGTGCTTCTTAAAGTGAAGGTTCTTGGCACTCTTGTTCAGTTTTATGATGATACTAACCCAGTGTATTGCCTTTTAATATCTTCTAATCGTGTTGGTTGGTGCAGCTAGAGAAGGAATTGCGTGAGATGCGATCGGAGTATGCAGAGACTAAATATACAGCTGATTCAAAATTAAAAGAGGCAACTGCATTGGCTACTAGTGTTGAAGAGAATTCACTACAACTAGAATTGAAATTGCGTGCAGCTGATGCCAAGATCGCTGAGGTGAACAGAAAAAGTTCAGAAGTTGAGAGAAAACTATGTGATATTGAGGCTCAAGAAAATGCACTTAGAAGAGAACGGTCCTCTTTCAATACCGAGTATGTTCCTTCGAACACTATTATTTTCCCTCATTTCTCTATGCCACTTCGTAGTTTTGATGTCTGCAGTTTTGAATGATGAAAGTGATGCGACAGCATCCATTGACAGTAACAGTGTTTTTTTTTTCTTGTTATCTCAGGCGTGAAGCTCATGAGAGTGCTCTATCTAAACAAAGAGAAGAGTTGCGAGAATGGGAAAGAAAACTAAAGGAAGGAGAGGAGAGGCTGGCTGATGCTCGAACATTGCTAAACCAAAGAGAGCAACGAGCAAATGAGAATGATAGCGTTTTGATGCAGAAGCAGAATGACCTTGAAAATGAGTCGAGGAAAATTGACATAGCTAACTCAGTTTTGAGGAAGAAAGAAGATGATATGAGCAGCCGACTAACTAGCGTTGCTCATAAGGAGAAGGCAAGTTTCCTTGGATTTCTCCAATAGAGTAGCTAATTTGTATTTTGATCTTTATGTTTACTAGTTCTCCAATTGATGCAGGAACTTGAGGATGTGAAAAAGAGCCTGGAGATAAAAGAGAAAGAATTAGATGAACTACAGGAAAAGCTAAATGCAAAAGAGAGAGTGAGTACCTGCATTTATTAGTAATTTATTATTCTGTATGCGTGATTGATATTTATGAGGACAGTCCCTCCTCCCTCGAGTCAATTTCTCTACAGTACTTTTTCTACAAGATTAGGCCACATTATCTTCACTTACTCTTATTTGAAATTTTCTTATTTATACCCCTTCCAGTATTTGGAGTACTCTTGCCCCAGGGCCTTGGTCTAGTAGTAAGTGCACAGTGCGTGATGTGTGGGTTAGGTGCATGTCACGAGTTTGAATCGTGACACAGATAGCCTGGAATGTAAGTGGAGAAGGGTAGATGGGTGGGTACATTATCCACCGAGTCCTCGGTTGTCAAAAAAAATATCTGGAGTACTCTTCTAAAAATTTCTCTGCCTCTCATTATCTCTGGTTGTCAGTTATCTGTTTTGCTGCTCCTATTGTCCCTTTAAAGTCTTTTTTGTTTCCGAGGAAGAAATAAACTTGAAAAAGAGCTGTCAAGTATTTCAATTAACGATAGGACTATCGTACTTACTTTATACTTATCCTTGTGATTGGAAATTAACAGGAGGAGATACAAAAGTTAATGGATGAACACCGAGCTATCCTGCAATCAAAAGAAGAGGAGTTTGAATTGGAAATGAGGCAGAGGCGGACATCACTGGACGAGGAACTGAAAAGCAAGGTGATTGAACTGGAGAAGAAGGAAGCTGAAGTTAATCACATTGAAGAGAAACTCAAAAAACGAGAACAGGCACTTGAAAAGAGAAATGACAAAATGAAAGAGAAGGAGAAGGATCTTGAATTGAAGCTGAAAGCATTGAAGGGAAGAGAGAAGTCTCTGAAAACTGATGAGAAAGAATTGGAAACTGAAAAGAAGCAGATATTTACTGAAAAGGAGAGTTTACTGGCTTTAAAGGCTGAGCTTGAGAATGAAAGAGCTGAACTTGAAAAACAACAGATCAAGATCAATGAGGACATGGAACAGCTTAAAGTAACAGAAGATGAGAAAATGGAACATGCTCGCCTTCTTTCAGAACTGAAGCAGGAGACAGACAATTGTAGACTTTTACGAGAAACTCTTCTGAAGGAAGCTGAGGATTTAAAGCAGGAAAAAGAGAGATTTGAGAAAGAATGGGAAGAGCTGGATGAGAAAAGATCTATGATCGAGAAGGAGTTGAAGGAAGTTAATGAATTGAAAAGGAATTTTGAAAAACTGCAGCACACTGAGGAGGAAAGGTTGAACAAGGAGAAGCTGGAAACAGAAAATTATGTTCAGAGAGAGTTGGAAGCCCTTAAAGTGGCACAAGAGACATTTGCGGCAACTATGGATCATGAGAGGTCAGTATTAGCTGAGAAAACTCAAAGTGAGAAAATGCAAATGCTTCATGATTTTGAAAGACAAAAACGAGAACTTGAGAGTGAAATGCTGCGGAAGCAGGAGGAAATGGAGTCCGCGCTGCATGAGCGGGAGAAACTCTTTGAGGAAGAGAGGCAGAGGGAACTCAGCAATGTTAACTATTTAAGGGAAGTTGCCCGTAAGGAAATGGAAGAGATGAAGTCAGAAAGAGTTCGGCTGGAAAAAGAAAAAAAGGAAATTTCTGCAAACAAGATGCATCTCGAAGAACAACAGTTAGAGATGAAAAAAGATATCGATGTGCTCGATGGTTTAAGCAGGAAGTTGAAGGATCAAAGGGCAGCTTTTGCAAAGGAAAGAGAGAGGTTCATTGCTTTTGTCAAAAATCTGGGGAGTTGCAGCTCATGTGGAGAGGGAATTCGGCTATTTGAGCTTTCTGGCCTTCAAGCTCTACATGATGTGGAGAATTTCGAGGCCCCTCCCTTGCGAAGTGTGGCACAGGAATATCTAAAGGATGGTCTCCAGGGCTCACCTGGAAGTGCTAACAACGAGTTGTCCCCTGGTGTTCTTAATTCAGGATCTACTGCTTCTGCTGGAACCATGTCCTGGCTTCGAAAATGTACATCAAAGCTTCTCATATTCTCACCAGGTAAGAAGATTGAGCATCCTGCATCTCAAGGTCTCATTGGTGGATCTTCTCTGGCAGAGAAATCGGTTGGTGAATTACCTGATGGACTATCGAAAAACGATGATCAACCAGATCTGGCTGTTTCCATCAATGACACGTGTGATGACCAGAGACATCAAAGTGATAACAGCATTAGAGAGGTGGAAGCTGGCCATGATATTCGCGAAGACTCTCAGCATTCCGACGTGAATGCTGGCCAGCGCAGACCTGTCAGGAAAGGGCGTGGTAAAAATACTAAGACAGGTTCAACAAAGGCAAAAGCTGCAAGTGCAAAAGCAATCCTTGGAAAAAATCTTAAGGAGACTGAGAATACGCACGTGAATGGAGGTTTGGAGAGCTCAATTAATATAAATGACGAGAGCCAGAAAGAATCTAGTCTTTTGGGTGGAGCGCCAAGTAACACCAGAAAGCGTACTCGCACCCATACATCACAGGGAACGGCAAGTGAATTTGATGGAAATCATAGTGATGGACAGTCAGATAGTGTGACGGCTGGCGGTCGGAGGAAGAGGAGACAAAGGGCTGCCCCGTCTGTGCAGGTTCTTGGTGAAAGAAGATATAATCTCCGCCGTCCCAAAAGGTAAATCCCTTTTATGGTTTTTGATTTCTGAATTTTGTTGTATTGCATAAGANAAAAAGAGAACCTGACATGCAAAAAGAAATTTAAGAAACATCTAGAAGGGCATGTTTCTGGAGAAGAGAAACGAACCTCGCCTTCCCTCCCTCCTTCACTGCCGCAACCAATAGGTGGTAAAAGCCAAGAATTAATGGGGAAAACTGAAATGCTTAAGCTTGTCCTCTATATTTTCAGGAAGGTTGTTAACCTCAAAGCTGTGGGTACTGTGGTACTTCCATGGCTAATGGAAGTCAAACCGATTCACTTCTGAGGTCCTTAAGTCTCTTGGATAAGGTCGCTTGTGGACATTTAGAAATATTGGGTTCTTAAGGACTATGAATGACAGTTGAATGCTTAAGTTTGGATGCACTGTTCCGAAACGAGATGTGGAATTGAAATTACTCATTCACAGTTCCATCCTCGTCCTTGTACTTCAAGAGTGACGACTTCCATGTCATGGACATTGGTCTTAGGTTAGGGTGATGCTATCAGTACCCTAAAAATTCTCTTTCCCTGAACTTTTTCTTCTCTTTAGTAAAAGTTTTAGGTTTTGAATGAAGAATTTAGCTAATCATGTACTCCGGACAGCAGACAGCTTGATATAGTTTACTAGAGCTCTAAAGAGGTTTGTTTTACTGGAAGGAAGAGGTTGTGAAATTTGAATGCTTTCTTTTTATGACCTATTTATTTCTGTAAACTCAATTTAATGAAATTAAGTAGAACATGCAGACCAACCCCGGTTTGCTTGGGTGTATGCAGACCAATACCAAAGAGATTTCAAAATTTAGTAATAGGTACTTCATAGTCGTTAGTCCTGTTATCACCTGGTATCAAGTGGTACTGGCCTTATTGGGATCTTCAATCTTGTACCAAAGTCTTGTTTAATGGTGTCTTCTCAGAGGGACTAGGAACAAGATTGATCACCTGGTATCAAGTGGTACTGGCCTTATTGGGATCTTCAATCTTGTACCAATGTCTTGTTTAATGGTGTCTTCTCAGAGGGACTAGGAACAAGATTGATCACCATCATCCTCGTGCTTGAGAGACAATCGGGTGGTCTGTCGGTCAACTGATTCCGATAAAAGATTTTAGGTCTCATGAAACTCTTTGGAAGGAGATGACCAACTCTCTAACTGCTTCTCTTTTCGTGGTAGATTTTTCGTCTCAGTTGCTCCTTCCCCACCTTCCTCGCTCTCTATGGGAGCTGGTGAAGGTGTTGTTTGACAGCTAATGGTGTTTTGACTTACATTTTTATCATCAGTGTGGCTGCAGCTACGGCTAATGGATCTTTGCCAGAGCTGGTCTCAAAATCTCAGGAAGAAAATTGGGATTCCAATGCTGCGCCAGCAGCTCCTGCAGAGGTCAGCAGTGGAGATAATGGAGAACTCAGAAACTCGGGTGCGGGTCTTCCCACTGTAGCCGATAGCCCTGTAAGTATACACTCTATTCTCCTGCCCCGTCTGATGTACAAATGTCCATTATCTCACCCCTACTATTTTTGTTTAATTTACTGCATTCCATCTGCATGTATGCTATGTATGTATATCATACTTCATTTTGTTCCCCGGCACCTCTTTCCCCTGGATATTAACCCACAACAGCACAGGTGTATGAAATTACTAAACTGGATCTTTTACTCGAATGAAATATTCAAATACATTTTTCTGGCTACAACTGTTTCAGCGAGGGGTCCTTTGGTTGGTGTAGGAAGAGATTCAATCTCCAATAAAATACAGCATTATATTATAAAATGTTTGCTTGCTACTTCTGTTTTCGTAGCAAATAATGCTTGCATAAGTTATGTGGAAATCTATGTATTATTTTATGTGGGATAGAATGTGAAATAAGAATCCGGATATTAATAATAAATGGATTACACACGCTGAGATGGCAATACATAATAGTAAACTAACTTTTATTTTACTTAAAAAGTAAGCACATTTTAAATTACACATTGCGCACTAATTTGTAACATATCAAACCTAACATCCTACAAGAAATCAGTAGTCTTTGGCACTACTAATCTCTGCACTAAAGTCGCAACATTACTAATCCATCCATAACATGTCTCTAAATTAAACTTTCTTAAGTTTTGCTATTATTTGTCTGGCAGTTGAAGGGTGCAGCAGACAGTGCTGATATAGCTAACGAATTGGTAGATGATACGGGATTGAGTGAAGAAGTGAATGGAACACCAGAAGGGCCGTCAGGTTACAGTGTATACGATGAGGAACACAAAGGTGAACAGGATGAGGATGATGATGGTAAGAACGAAGAAGATAACGAGGGCAACGAGGAGGAAGAGGTTCAACATCCCGGTGAAGTCTCTATAGGGAAGAAGATTTGGACTTTCATCACCACATAGTGAAGGCCAAAATGACAGTGCCGCTTTGGTTGCATGCTTGAGGGAATTTTTCTAGGCATATTGACAACTATTCCATTTGTTTTGCTACTTTTAGTATAGTTTCATGCTTTTAGAGTTTGTCTAGTGGTGTGTGTATTCTTCTGGAAATGAAGTTAAAACAGAAGTCGGTTCAGATCGGGATTGTTGTGGTAGGCTTTTAATGCATGTGATTAGGATGTCAGGTGCTTGCATATTGTTTAACAATCGTAGTGTCCATAATATCGTGGTATCACGACTTAACCATTGTAACACTAGACTTCCGGTACTTAATGTTATTGAAACATTGCTAAAATGACTTGATTGTTTCATTGTATCTGCTTTATTGCCACTTACAGACAGAAGAACTGAATATGAGACGAGTCAATGGTTATCATACCACCTTTCCTGCAGCCACATTAGCTACATATTGCAATCAAGCTACAAACTTGGAATACTTAATAGACATAACCAAGTAATCAACTGAGATTGATGTTAACGCCTTTCGTCACCTTGAGATTTCCCAAAACGGAAAAAGGAAAGCTTAATTAGAAAAGCTTCTACCTTCAAAAGATAAGGGTAAGGAAAGCTTAAACTGATTAGATATGTTCCAACTTTCTACACCTTCAAGTCGGGAGTCAAATTCAAAATATGCCTATATGCTCGTTCTCTGTCTCCTTTTATTGGTGCTATTAGGAACCTCATGAATCTATCAATAGGGATTCGAACACTCAACAAGTTTATTAGAAATATCTTTTGTGTTCTTCCTACGTTAAGAAAATTAATGATAAAACACATGCATTGAGAACAAAATTGATAGAGTTTATACGAGCAGTATCTTTTCTGTTACTTCCGGGAGATTCAATAAAGTTCAGCGGTGTTACCCCTGATGTATAAGCCAGTTTTATGTACTGCAATATTAAACAATTGTGAACCTCCTAAACTGCAAAAATTACAACTAAATAGTAGTTAACCAAGCAGGCTGCACAGTAAAAGACATACCACTGGATCATTACGAGACTGCAGGATTTGTCGACTTCAATCAAGCTACCACTATTTTACAATACACATCAAAGATCAGGAGTTACCGGCTTACTGAACTCCTACAAAAATTTGTTAACTCACATATCCAACAAATCTCATTCAGATCTAGCTTATGTACAACATTTCACTTTCTTGAATCGGAATGCAGATTCAAAACATGCCATTAGTCTTCGAATGGGAAAATCGTATTTGCAATGGCAAAGAGAATGCTGAATCTGAGGTTAGATCCTCCACTTTATCAGATTGTCTAGAAAGTCTATCTAGGAGATGTGTAGTACAAACCATGGAAACTGTGGTTTGTACTACCATCATTGACAAGTGGGCTTCTTCTACCTCTATCTGACAAGGATCTTCCAAAACTAGGGCTTCTTGGCATTGAAGCACTATCCCTTGGGCTAATAGATGAATAATGCGAGTCATACGCCCCATATCTGTAAGAATAGCCTGACAAGGAGGGGCTAGTTCCAGGATCGCAACCAGGAGGTCCATCATCTTCAAAATCCCTAGACCAACGTCGCTCATGATAATGCCCTCTGTTGATAGGGTCTGGTGTATGGTTATATCGATTGTGTGAATGGCTTCTTGAAAGACTCGAACTCGAAGATCCAGGCGCCCAACGTCTTTCATCAGCATGTTCAGGTATTGGCGCATTTACACCAGGAAAATCAACACTCATCTTCCTAGGCGGATTAGGGAAGCTTTTATCAAGAATTTCCCCTTCCTCTGTTTCTTCCTTCTTTTCCTCATCTGCAAATATTGTGATTCCAGAGGGTAGATTTTCGTCGTCTGGATCTAAAAAGGTCATAAATTGCAGAACAGTCAGTAGATTTGACAACAGCTGTTAGGTAATTTGAGGACAGCATGCATTAATCTAGAAGCAAAACCAAAGAAAGTTTGTGTCCAAAAATCTGAAGAAAAAAGATGATCAGAAGTATGGTAAGAAAGAGTTGGCTGAGTGGTTTGGGCCTAGCCTACTAATTTGGTTAGAAGGTAAATGTTTAACCAGGTCCAGTACTAACTTGACAAAAAACTGCCATAAATATAATTTGGATTACCAACAGAATACAAACAGACATCCAATAAACTAATGAGGACATGTATATTTACCCAAATATCCTGGTGGATATCCCATTTCCCTCATTCTATTAATCCAGGGAGGTGGATCAAGCTCCTGAAAAATGAAAAAGGAAAAGACTGTTGATAAAAATGAAGCATATCGGAACACCAGTGTCTTAGCACTTCCATTACTAGAATGAATTGCACTGGATAGAAAACTTTAAACAGTTAAGACCACGTAAAATCATTTTTCATGTGAGAAAGCAAATTCATAACATGGTCTATCTCACCCCAAGGCCCAGAAGTTTTCGTGTTTCAGGCTCCAGGACACCTGGTCTTAAACCGTCATACTTCCCCTTTGGAGAATCTTGATAATATCGAGTTGGATTGCGGGAACTGGCATTTTGATTCCTTCTGGACTTGTGTTGTTTACGAGCAATATTTACAGCAGCATTGTCACGAGGCTTAGGGCAATCTTTCAAAGAGTGGCCATAGGAACCACAATTGAAACATCGCGAACTATCAACCATTTCAATTCCGCTGCAATGCAAAAGACATCATAAGATATTATGCCTAAATAATCACACAAACAAGTACAAAGTCTTGTCGCCAGAAAACGCACATTCAAATATCTTGTCAACAGGATCCTACATACTTCCTTCGGTTGTATTGCCTTTTCTTTTACGACTAAGAATATAAGCAGAGAACAGAGATCATAGAAGGACACAACTCATAGAAGGACAGAGATCTTTTACGCACATTCAAATTTTTTTTATTTTTTATTTTTTTTTTATTTTTTTGGATATTTACAATAGTTACCAATTCAAAAAAAAAAATTGCAAACAAGTATATCCCCCCTTTTTTTTTCGGATAAGGTGAAGATTTTATTAAAAACAGTTCAAGCTGATATCGTGAACATACAGAGAGAGTGTTAGCTTAAAAACATTAAAATCCTAAGCAGTCTAGCAAGTCCAGCATGTTATGTAAATCCATAACAACATTTCCATCTTTTCAATAGTACAAATAATGCAAACAACTATATTTCACACATTGCAGCTGCTCCTTCTTGCTTCAAAACACCTATTATTTCTTTCTTTCCATATAGTCCAAGCTATGCAAAGAGGAATAGCTCTCCAGATCTTCTTTAGGGATGCTTCTGTAGGCATAATGAACTTTTGGGATGCTTCTGGACGCTTAAGAGGAATTGCAAACAAGGATATCTATAGGCATACTCTCAACATTGTCGAAGAAAACTACTATCATAAAACAATCCAAATGAAGTTTTCCAACGCAATCTCTAGGGCAAATGAACTTTTAAAGTGGAAGACTGACATAACATAATATCAGATAAATATTTCAAATGCAAAGAATGACATGATACTAAACCGGGCCGTGTTCCAGAATGACACAGGCTACAATAGATATTGATTTCCATGAGTCTTATTGCAGGAGCCGGCAACACATGCCACTGTCTGACATTGAAGAATAATCAAAATGCAACCTCTAGATATAATCATGTCAGAGATTAACAAGATGACAGGACGAGGAAGATACATCTGACTCACAAAAGGTAAAGTTCAAGACTATTACAACAGGAAGGAAAAGAATGGGAGGAAGATTCAATTAAGAGATGGAATGGAATGAAAAAGAGGAACGGAATTTATAAGGTTGCATAGAGACCAACACGTGAAAACTCCACTACCACATCAGCCTAGGAAAATCTTTGTAAGATACCAGTCACGGTCAACCAATTCCCAATAAATGTGTGTGTGTGTATGAAAGCCTAAAACATCCATACAACAACAACAACAACTACTCAGTAAAATCCCACATAGTGGGGTCTGGGGAGGATAATGTGTACGCAGACCTTACCCCTGCCCCGATAGGGGCCGAGAGGCTGTTTCCGATAGACCCTCGGCTCAGAAAGACGAAAATAAAGTAAAAAAAACAAGAGGAGAGAATTCATTAGTAACTCCAATAGAAACCGTAATAGTAACATACACATAAAAACCGAAAGATGAATGACATGCAATAACAGTAACCATAATCTAAGGCCCGGGGCTAAGACAAACAACAAGAATAGTGTGGGTCCAACATAAACTGCAAGCCATCTAAGACCAACCCTAATCCAACCCCGCCTCACCCCCGGAATGAAGTAAGGAAAGCTTTACTACCCCTATCCTACAACCCTAATGCTTGACCTCCAGGCCTTCCTATCAAGGGCCATGTCCTCGGAAATGTGCAGTCGTGCCATATCCTGCCTGATCACCTCTTCCCAATACTTCTTAGGTCTCCCTCTACCTCTTCTCGTACCCACCACGGCCAACCGCTCACACCTCCTCACCGGTGCATCGAGGCTTCTCCTCTGCACGTGCCCGAACCATCTAAGCCTCGCTTCCCGCATCTTGTCATCCACAGGGGCGACGCCCACCTTCTTCCGAATATCTTCATTCCTAATCTTGTCTATACTAGTGTGCCCGCACATCCACCTCAGCATCCGCATCTCTGCTACTTTTATCCTCTGGATATGGGAGTTCTTAACCGGCCAACACTCTACCCCATACAACATGGCCGGTCTAACTACAGCTCTATAATACTTAGCAAAGCCTAAAACATCCATGATTTTTGAAATAGCACGGCATCACGGCGTTCATTTTAATTCATCCATATAGTACTCCAAACTAACAACTGAAAGATTATAAGATATATGTTCTAGGAATGAACTTACAGCCAAACAAGAATTTAACTACAACTTACGCTTCCACATTGCTTGAACCATCAGTTGCAGTCAAAGCAAATGAATATCCACGATCATATAGCGGGACAGAGTTGCTGTCCAATGGAATAAACTCGCTTTTGTTGTTCCTTGCTTGTTTGTCCACCCAATAAGTCTAACAGAAAATAGTACTTTTTAGCCTCTTAAGAAAAAGCAAATGCCAGGCAGTCGAGAAAGTCTAATTACAGTACAACTCTTCTCAAAATTTGAAGCAGCAATGCCATATGGGTAGATACAACAGCATAACAGCTACCGTGAGAGGATCGGGGGTGTGCAAGACGAACACATCTTTCAGATAAGAATTTAAAATATGAAAGACTTGGACGGCAAAGTTAAACATTCTACACAAACAAATTTTTTTTAGATGAAGACATTCTACACAAACAAATTATTTTGTGTCTTAACTCAATCAGAGGATAAAATATAAGAACGTTATCTAATAATATTGAAAACAAGCAACAATTCCTCAAAGCAAAACTTCAATTCTAACAGGTCAATAATATTGCATAATCAACAAGTTTTTGCAAACAAAATTTATGTCACTTACAGACCTCCATAAATTTACACCATAATCCAAAAGCAACCGTCAAGAGAATTAATTTTAAGAATGAGAGCCTGAACGTGTTCACGTTTTTTTTTTTTGTTGAGATAAGATGATATTAATGGATGACGATAGCCGGGTGGCGATAACCCGGTGTACGAGCTGTAAACCTGAAACATATGAGTTCTCAAGAAAAACCCAGTGTTGTTAAAATCCTCATTAAGCTATAGGAAGCGCTCAGCCCATTTTACCCTTAGCTTCAGAGCTGAACCGCGCCCAAGCAAGCCTTTGAAACATTGGTAGTTATTTGTAAGGAACAGAGTGAATTACGTGACACAAAATAAAAGGTCATTTTAACATGGTAGTCTAAAAAAGGTCATTTTATTTTGCTATCACAAACAATTATGGTTACAGAATTATAGAATTTAGATAATACTCCAAAATTTAAATTTTAAATATAGATATTAACAAATATACTGAATAATAGCAATCTAACCAAGAGAATAACTTATCCCCATAAAGCTAGTTCCAGATCTTCTTGGAAACAATTACTTGAATGGTTCTGAAATTTGCTTCCTTTCTCTTTATTTCTTTTTTTTCAGGGAGTGGGGGACAGGGATGGGGAAGGTCTATATACAAGTTCTTCCCCTATTTATCCACTCACTAACAAAAAAATGCAATGTGCAAAATCCAATCAGTCGATTAGATTCGATTTGTCTATTCCTTTGGGAAACCCTGGTGGCTGATGAGAATACATGTCACCTTTTACACGTTAAGTATAAAATAGTATGCAAATAAGCGGAGGCAAATGTCTTTGGTTTACTTTTTTTAAAAAGATCATCAAATACAGTGGTAACAATAGCTCAACAGAAAATTTGAATTTGTACATGCAGGAGAGATAGAAATATACCACTGCAGAAGATTTCTCCAGACCAACATGAAGAGCAGGAAAGTACGTCTCCTCACCAGATTCAACAACTTCTTTTGAATCCTGATACCAACAAAACAAGGCTCAGCACTCTCAAGATGAAACCTACAGAGACACTGAAGTTTCCTAGAAAAACCCTCACTAAAACAACAACTACAAACCCAGTGTAATACCATAAGTGGGGTCTAGGGAGGGTAGTGTGTACGCAGACCTTACCCCACCCTATAAAGGCAGAGAGGCAGAAAAACCCTTACTAATCATAACACAAAAGGTTAGACTCATTGTCGACTGTTACATAACTATAGTAAAACGATATTAGGAGTAGTTAAAATAAAAAATAATGCATAAATGATGCCAGAGAAGCAAATAGCATACGTTTGACCATTCTTAACTACACATCAAACATGCCAACTAACTTCGACCTCCGTGCAAAATCTGGACAGTGGATCACGCTCTCTTTTTTGATAACCCAGTGGATCACGCTCTCTTAACTTGGGCACTCCCAATAATCACTAATTATTCAATGGAAAAGAATCAAGACATATTCTGACAATGTTAACGTAATATTATCTCTTACACTTGAAAACAGACATATAAAGATCTTAGTTATATTCAACAGCGCATGTGCATGCCCTGCTCTCAGCTTTTGAGTTCAAAAAACTTCTAACTGATTTCCACTTACGGCAAAAGAAATGGAACATGAGTTGCAACAGCAGGTCAAAAGTCTAACTAATAGAATTTCTTAATTCAAGTGAAATGCCTTATTGTTCAACAATTTTCATTTCAAACTTTCCCTTCCCCTTCTGCTCTGCAACTAGCAATAGAAAATGAAAGGGTTACATGAACACCCAAGGGTGTGGCCTAATGGTCAATGAAGTGGGTACAAACCTTGGAGACCTGGGTTCAAATCCTAGCAGAGACAGAAACACTAGGCAAGGAGTGCACATGTTGGCCCGGACACCACAGTTATAACCAAAAAAAAAAAAAAAAAGACATGAAAGGCTTACATGAGCTGAAGAGCAATGTTTGGCATGCCACTCTGACCATTGTTGTAGCAGCCCCTCAAGCATCTTTCTGCTCTCTCTGTAACACAAGGTTAACCCGTCAGGATCGAGAAATACAAGGATGACATTTTTACTAAAAATATCTGTCTAATGACAGAAAGGAATAACTACTACAGTTGGTTATTCAAAGGAAAAAGAAGAGTGGTGAAAAGGGGCAACTGATTTATTTTTATTTTTTAGTAAAATGATTGAATTAATTCCCTATGTTTAGTATTTAACCCCCTCTCATACAAGAGGAAGAAAATTACATGAGCATACTTCCTCTTGTGCCATTTTAAACAGGTTACAAAAGATGACATTCAGGGTAACGCAATTCCGTTCAATCCTCGTCCAGTTGTGAACCAAACAAGACAAATTATCCTAACCCCTCCTCATGTACTTCCCCGTGTCACTCCAAAAGTCCAAATAAACATAATCTTAAAGTAGATATGGAAGAATATAAAAGAACATGGGAACTTTTGTCAAACCTTGTCAAGGAATTATAAATGATATGCACAGACGGTTGTTCAACATCAGGAGTTGCTCGAGGTCTCTTAACTCCAGATAAACCTGCTAATAAGGTCCACATTTAGAGAAATATATCTCAACCAATAGGGGCTAAGTCAAAACAAAAACAATAATAATATTTATCAAAAAGACACAAACTTGACACAAATAAAATGGAGCTGTAGGCATAAAGATTTCTTGCTTAATTCCAGAAAAAATATGCAGTTGCAAAAATCAAAATAGTAGTTCTAATTTGTTGGCCCTATTAGTTGTTGTGGGTCACGAGCATGTAAAAGACTATACCTATTGGGCAAGAATAGAACAAGAAATATCAAAGAAACAACGTACATTTGGAACCAACAATCTCCTGAGTGCTCACAAGATCTTGATCCTCTTTATGACTGATACTATCGCTCTCGTCTTGCAAACTTAGATGTCCATTTTCGGCATGCATTACAGCGTTGATGGTAGTTAGATTCTCTGTTATCGCAACGGTTTCAGTCAACTCAACGCCAACTTGTGTGAGTGTTTCAGCCGACTTAACACCAACTTGCGAGCCTGGGTCACTCTCCAAATCCATGTCACTATCACTTTCCTGTAAAGGTTCCTTGCTTTCCCCAACAACATAATCAGTGGTTTCGGAACTCTCTCCAATTGCACCATCTTCATTATTTTTAGTTCCTCTTTCAAGATTATCAGATGCAGGAAGGTTGTTTGAATCCTCAGTCCCCATGCAAGTGAAATTCCTATAGGCTGAAAACACAAACTATAATTAAACTTCATGGTTTACTAGTCTTTAGCTCAACAGATCTCTTCAAATAAACTTAAAAAAAAATATTTGCATTCATCATTGAAGTTGATATAAAATTCTGCACAAGCATAGTTGCCAAGTCAGGATATCATTGTGTATTGAGTGCCCATTTTGTCATCATCCACCCTATTCCATAAGATAGAACTGAATTAGAATGTTGCATCAAAATGTAACATGTTTACAAGCTCTTCCTCTGAAATATTATATCCTTCCGCAGAAAATAATCATATGTTCGGAAGGTTATTAAATGACTGGGAGCTTGATAGAATATTAGAGTTTTCAGTCTATTGACACAGTTCAGAGATACTACTACTGCTAGGATTGCATGGTGTGGCAAAGAGACAGTAAAGATGTATTCTCTGTTAAGTCAGCTTATAGAGAAGAATACAACATTTCCAATAATCAGGTTGGGTGTTGGCCATGGAAGATGATTTGGAAAGTCATGTTTCACTTGGCTTTTGACAAAGCAGGCAGTCTTGACACATGATAATTTGGTTAAAGCCTTAAAGGGGCTACCAGCTATGTTCCAATGTTACTTATGTGGAGAAAAGGAATTTACACCGCAATTGGACAATCAGCTTTGGAAAATCTTCATCAACCTGAGGGAATTAGGTGGGTGATGCCAGGAAGAATAGTTAATGTGTTAAAGAGTTGGAGTAGGGATGGTAACCTATCTAGTAAGAAGGAGAGATGGAGGATTGTCCGAACATGCATTTGGTGGACAGTTTGGAATGAGAGGAATCAAAGATGCTTTGAGGACAAATACAATCACTTCCAAAAGATGAAGATAAACTGCTTAGTGCTTACTCCTTCGAAATTTTTGGTCTAAACGAGGTTTCTTAGAAGATGTTGAATCTGTTTTGATGTACTAGATTATCTGTATGATGATATACACCTAGGAATTTTTGTTTTTACTTGTATTTTGCTTTGTACTTTTAGTGACTCCACAACTTGTGTAGTGCACCTTTCTTTATATATAAAACTTGTTATCTTTCTCAGAATAAAATAATAATCATACGTTCGGGAACTAATCGACTCTTTTTCAAACTAAGCTAGAAATCTCATTTTAACAAGATAACAAGTGCTATAGCCAAGGGAAGGTCGCACAAGTGCTTACTCCTTCGAAATTTTTGGTCTAAACGAGGTTTCTTAGAAGATGTTATCTATTTTGATGTACTAGATTATCTTTATGATGATATACACCTAGGAATTTTTGTTTTTACTTGTATTTTGCTTTGTAGTTTTAGTGACTCCACAACTTGTGTTGTGCACCTTTCTTTATATATAAAACTTGTTACCTTTCTCAGAATAAAATAATAATCATATGTTCGGGAACTAATCGACTCTTTTTCAAACAAAGCTAGAAATCTCATTTTAACAAGATAACAAGTACTATAGTCAAGGGAAGGTCGCACAATAATGAAACAAGCGCTGACAGAAAGTAAACTAAGAAAAAGGCCTTTTCATACACATTATTCATCTTTAAGATCAAGATCACCTCTATCATCAAGAACTTCTAGACCACAAGTTTTAAAAGTCTTTCTTACTTCCTTAAACTCTATGCCAGAAAACACCTTCCCATAAATTGGGACGGAGGGACAACTGACAAACGGAAAGAGGTAATAAAGATTCAAAGCACGGAACATGCGTCCTCGGCAAAGTAGAGCTCCAAGAACCTCAAATCCAACACATGCAGGCCTCACCCTTAGAGTGAGACTAGCCAGTTAGGAGTTAGACTAAGAATGACATTGGTCGTCTATTGATGCAGGGCTTTACCTGCTAGTTTTACTATACCAGCCATCTATTTCGTATTTCGTATTCTGTATTTCATATCTCTTATATTCCTGTTATTTTATTATGCATTTTTATGGTACTAATATATCGGCTCTTGTTGCTTTTTTGAGCCGAGGGTCTCCTGGAAACAACCTCTCTACCCGCGAAGGTAGGGGTAAGGTCTGCATACATATTACCCTCCCCAGACCCCACTTGTGGGATTATACTGGGTCGTTGTTGTTGTTGTTGTTGTTGTTGTTGCAGGCCTCACCCTTAGGACCAACCGCAGCCTTCGAAACTCGGGTATATCGTCCCACCTCTCTACCCTTCTCCACTCAAATACCAGGTTTAATTCACACTAAAATACCAGGTTTAGTTACATGGCGCAGGGCTCAAACCTGTAGCCACTACTGGAACTAAGCAGAGGGAAGAGGATTCAACCTTTCATCGAAAAATTACACTGTGAAAATATGTAAAAATGATATTTTTTGGTTATATACAAGCTGTTGAATCCCCTTGATTTGATGAAAAGTCCAAGTGTAATGGTGAAGGGGTTCAAAAGTTGCTTCAGGTCATAGTTTCAAATCCCAACTGTGACATACTAACTTATTTTTTTGAATCCCGTTGCTTAAATTCCTGGCTCCACCACCGAGTGTAACTAAGTCACAAGTGCCTTTTCGTTTCTTTTTTATAGTCAAGTTTTCATAATAACCAGAAATAGATATACTTCGGTAAACAATATATTGTGAGACATAAATCTGAGTTCTCCAACATACTGACATTAACTCGAACAGCAGGTTGGATATACTAATCTGATATTAAATACAAGTGATTGGGGAAAGAGACTTGAAATTTATGACTTTAATCACAATTTTCTAGCATATTCTTAGGAGAAAATGAGAGAAAAGGGGATAAGGGTTTTTGCCACACGAGAGACAGAGAGAGAAATCTAGAGAGAGAATGTGTGTGTGTGTGTGTGTGTGAGAGAGAGAGAGAGAAGAGAATTAAGGGGGGAAGAGAACTTACGATTTGGTTTCACCGGAGAGAGAAATCGCCGAGGAATTCGCCGGAGAAAGAGATCCGAGTTTGCAGATTGGGAGGGAGAATAATGTCAAATTGGGGAGAAAAGAGGAAATGTGAACTTGGGGCCCAAATAAATTGAATTGGGTCCGAAATTCTGATATTTGGACTGCAATATTGGGAGTTTACGTCCAATAAACCTTCCGACGCGTCTGGCGGCTCTAGTCCGAGCGTTTACCCGCATATAGTGTTCATATCAAGCTAACGTAATAAGTGGGCGTTTGGGCATAAGAATCGGAAAATTCCGGAAAATAGTGAAAAAAAATTCGAGTGAAAATGATATTTGACAGTTAGAGTTGTATTTGGACAAGAATATAATTTGCGCTTTTTTTAATTTTTGTGAATGATTTAAAGTGAAAATTTTGAAAAACTGCATTTTTGAGTTTTTTAAATTTTCGAACAATTCTGAAATTCATCTTCAAGTGAAAATTAAAAATTTCATGGCCAAACACTGACTTTGACAAAAAGTAAATTTTTTTAAAAAAAATGTGAAAAATTTTGTATGGCAAACGGCCCCTTAAAATAGGTATTTGAAACATACATATTTTACGTTCATTAATCTATACTATATTAAAAGCACGAAGGCCCTTAGCGAAATATTGTTCGCCTTTTTTACCCCTTAAAAATAGATTTTACATTGAATTAAATTGTAATTTAATTATATTTCCTAATATTTAGGAATTTAAAATTATCTAAAATTATGGTTATTAAATTTTTCCTTATTTGAGTTAAGTAGAAACTCCTAATATTTAGGACCATAAATTCTATTAAGATTTTACCTTGATATTTTTCATAATATTTATGTTATTTTTAGCAGAATATATTAGTAATACGGAAGAATCATGAACCTACTATACCTTATATACTTCTAATAAATACGAAGGAGTCCTTCAATAACCACTTTTTATTTTTACAGAAATAGAAATAAGTAGCGAATTCACAACTATAGTCAAGATACAAATTGTGGACTTCAAAATTTGGATTTTAAGTCCTTGATACTAACAGGAAAAAAGTCCTTAAACTTTTGGTATAATATTTCTCTCTCTCTCTCCCCCTCTCTATATATATATTAGAGATCATACTAATTATCATTTTATCCAATTTGAAAGTAAAAAATTAATCAAACATATTGTTTAAATCTTCCTAAGTTTATAGTATATAGACAAAATGTATTCATCGAGACATGTAAGACACAATTTTTTTGTATCTCATATTATAAGATACGTATAATTGCAAAACAATGTACAATTAATTTAACTGAAGTTATTATTTGTGCATATTCAGAAGATATTAAATTCAACTGTTGTGTAATGTGATAACATTTACTTTCATCATTTAAACAAATATTGCATTTCATTTTTACGTTAATGTGCTTTAGCGAAATATCGTTCTTCTTTTCACCCTTTTAAAATAGATTTTATACTGGACAAAATAGTCATTTAATTATGTTTATAATATTTAGAAATATTCATTTAAGAAACTTTTTACTATTTATAAATAGTCATTTAATTATTCTTCTAATATTTAAAACTTTGGTTTGTAATCAACTCCTTATTTGAACTGTATAAAAAATTTAAATATTTGAATCTTGAAATACTTAAATCTGAAAATCAATTCAATTTTTACTTTGTGCACATATATAACTTTTTTTAACATAAAAGCACGATAATTATATTACTTAAAACATATTATAATAGGAGGACATAGTCTTTAGGGCATTACTATTGTCCATACTTTCTAAGTAAGTACAAACATCGCTAGAGATACTTTTAACACTATTACAAACTGAATAAGTATGAATTCAAACAAATCTTTTTTCTTCCTTCCGAACTCAAGTAATTAATCTAAACAATTATATTTCTTTTAGTATTTTTATGTAATATAGTGAAAAGGTGAATTACCATCGTGATCGTAAATCCAAAACTTAAATTACTGGCTCGAACTTTTAATCTCTTATTGATTTAGAAAACTATAACCCTTCTTATATTAATTATTTTTTACCATTAAAAAAAGAAATAATTGGATAAAATAGTAATTACTAAATATTTAAAATTTGGTATGAGCTAGCATTAACGATTCGAATCAACAAGAAAATAAAGTATTTTCTTATGTGAGAACAGATATTGAGAATTAACTAATTAGCAAAATAATCCAATTCAATTCTTCTAGAATTGATCATACAAGTAAAATTATTTTTTTTAAATCAACATGATAAGATCCGTAAATTGTGCCCCTAAGAAGAGAATCAGCAGCAAAAGAAATCAAAAAATAAGAGAAATATCATTTTTAGTATAATATTAAGAGTCAAATTAATAAATTGCTATGCATTTAACTGAATTAACCTTCTTCACTTAGTTTCTTATCTTTTATTTTATAACTTAAGTACGGAATATAATTTTTTGACATAATATTTTGATAATTAAAAAAATCTATATTTATTGAGTTGGGTATACGCGCAACGCGCGTAGCCTAAAACTAGTTTAATATAAATACAAGTAGAAGTAACTTTATTTTAAATTAGAGGAAAATGGGAAAATATGGGATAAAATCTAAACGAGGTAAGAAAATTATGAGGTGAATATGAGTTTTCTGTATTGATCTTGCAGTATTAATTTTGTAATTTTATTTTAAGTGACAATTTAGTTTTAGTACCTGACGACAATTTGATGAATTTTTGCTAACTTTCAATTTTAGTACAAGATATAGGGATGGTGGATGTACTTTTTATAGCTTTTTTGGATGTTTTGTTTTTGACAAAACAAAGATAATATATTAAACATTACGAAGTACCATAAGTTATATCATTAAGGAAACTACAGGCCTTGAGGACATTCATATTCCCCATTGCGGCTAAACTGCAACATACATCAGTACTAATGTTTTTTACCAAATATACATAACCGTACTTATCCGTTGCTAGGTTATTTAACACAAAAGGGGTAGGTTTATCAAAAAGCTGGTGGTTTTTTGCATGCTTGATTGTCTCCTTTGACATCTTATGAGCTACCTTGTTTCCTTCTCGAAAGTTATGGTTGATCCTCGGTTGCTTCAGCTGGTGCATTAACCACCTGCAAGTAAAAATAGTCGTGTTGTAAGGAATAGAGTCAGAATGTAGTGATTTGATTACCTCTGTTGCGTCAGTTTCAACGACCAGTGGTGTATAGAGCAATTGTTAAGTCCTTCTTTGAGGGCTTCCAATTCTGCCTCTAGGGGGAGCTTGAGGGGCAGGAGTGTTGATAACCCATTATCCACTTTCCCATATGGTCTCTAAATACTTCTCATATGCCTCCCATGTTTGCATTTCCTTTGAAGCCCCATCTAGGTTTAGTTTGAAAGAATTTTGAGGCGATTTGTACCATGCAACCTCAATTGCATGGAAATGAACAGTAAAGTGTTCGTTTATGGTGAAGAGCTTATATTCTAAAGCTAGTGAAATTGCATGAGAGGGATTATAATTCATAGTCATGTTTGAGTAATTATTATTATTTCGATTTAGCCAAATACTCCACAGGACAAAGGGATAAAGATCCTCCTATTTAAGGTAAGGAGAGGAGGTGAAAGAGTTTAGGTTTCTAATTTTATGGAGACAGTGTGTACCATTATGACTGGGAGAGAAAATTAAACCCAATGTTGCCCGATAATGCATGACTGCTTTATAAGCTGTAAAAATGTGTCCAATGGTTTCAGTTTCCTTTTTATACACGGGACATAAAGGATCAATATTCAAGCCTATATGGTTAAGGTATGAGCGTGTGGGCAGTCTTCTATGAAGGCATTTCCACAGCAAGAATTTTATCTTATTTGGGCAGTGAGTATCCCAAATCCACTTAAATCCTTAGAGTTGTGTTCATTTGGCTGGATTAGTTTGTAGCAACTTTTCGACGAGAAAATTCCATTTTCCGTTAGTTTCCAGTAACATAAGTCATAAGCATTATGAAGAGGATGAATTGAGAGGATGGCATTCTTAATGGGTTGAGGAAGGTCAAAGGGAATTTTTGTTAAGTCCCATTTATTTTCAGTCCAAATGTCTTTGATGGTAAGGTTATTGGTATGAATTGTGAGAGGTCCTTCTAATTGATTTCTTAGCAAAGAAGTTTTAGGGATCCAGTTTGTATCCCAGATGTTCATAGAAGAATTTGTGTGTGGGATCCATTTTAAATCTTTGTTACAAAATTTTCACCCTCTTACTACACTTTTTCAAATAAAAGAAGTATTTTTTAAAGTAGTGGAGGAGCCATATAGCGAGGTAAGTATTTTTGACCAAGGTAGTTTAGAGTTATGGATGAATCTCCAGGATAGGTTGTCAGGGTTACTAGGTTTTTTCTTTTGCTGAGTGGATGCCAAGCTCCCTTTGTTTTTTTTCCTTCGTCAAAGTATCCCAAGAGACTAGATAATTTTTTTTTGAGTTTATAGTGGATCCCCAGATAAAATTTTTCTGGATTTTGTCAATTTGTTTGATAATCCTAGTGGGAAGGTACTCATACTGCATGACATGGTTAGGAATACTGTTTAGGGAAGCAGAGGCAAGAGTTGTTCTCCTTGCCATATTAAGAAAATTTGATTTCCAGGAGGCCAATTTATTTGCCATATTATCAAGGATAAACTGGTAATCGGAAGGTCTAGGCTTGTTGTTTGTAATTGGAAAACCTAGGTATTTTTCAAAACTATTACTAATTTTTATATTGAATAGTTTCGACAATGCCTTTGAAGTATGAGTGGGGCAGTTTTTGGAGACAATAATTTTTGACTTTGAGAAATTTATTTTTTGGCCTGACAATGTGCAAAATGAATTTTGGCAATTGAGAATAGATTTGGGGGATTTTTTGTCAATCTTGCACATTATAGTTAGATCATCTGCATAGAATAGATGGGATAATTGACATTGGTTCTTTCCCATCTTGATGAGAGACCAAGTACCAATATCAACTTGGCGGTTGATTTGAATAGAAAGCATTTCCATGCAAAGGATAAAAATATAGGGAGATAAGGGGTCTCCCTGCCTAATACCTCTACTAGGAGAGAAGAAATTACTCTTGCTACCATTAACTAAGACAGATATCTTGCTGGTTGTGATACAAGACATAATTAGGGAAGAGATTTTTGGAGGGAAATTAAAATAATGAAGGGTTCTGTATATAAAAGACCATTCTAATCGGTCAAAAGCCTTTTCTAGGTCTATTT